CCGGGCGAGAAATCGCTGCCGGCCCCTCATAATACGGTCAATGAAATGCTCTACCTGATCGTCCTGAAGGCCCTGCGTCCGGACAAGCTGGTGCCCGCCGTGAGGGTAAGTTGAGTGTGGCGCCATGTCCCCACCCGGCGGCGTACATTTAATATCCTCCGGTTTGTCAGGCTTTCATTACGCGCAACCTGGACCGCTCGTTTGTGGAGCCGCCACCCTTCGACTTGGCGGCCTCGTTCGCGGACAGCTCGCCGAAAATACCGCTGGTATTCCTGCTCTCGCCCGGATCGGATCCCATGGCCAGTCTCTTCATGTTCGCCAAACAACGCAACATGTACGACAAGTAAGTTAATTAACGAGAGTGCCTCATATTTCCGTGTCGGTGTCCAGGGGTGGGTGAAGCAGCAGCAGCCGCCGCTGGTGATGGTGTTGGGTGCTGCTGGTTGCTCCTGGTGGCGGCGGTGGTGGCATGTTTTTGATTAAGCGCGACATGTGCGCCTTGTCGCTATATGTGCCCGCCTCCAACCTCTCTGGGCACTCAACCCTTGAAGCCAGAAGCTGCCTCTGCTTTCTCTTTAAAGAAATTTATGCTAAGCACACATATCCCGCTTCCGCTTCCGTTCAGATTGAAAACCATCTCGCTGGGTCAGGGCCAAGGACCGCGAGCGGAGAAAATGATCCAGGAGGCCGCCCGCCATGGCCAGTGGGTAGTTCTCCAGAACTGTCACGTTGCCTTCAGCTGGATGGGCGACCTGGAGCGCATCTGCAATGACACCACCTTAACGGATGGCGCCAATCATGACTACAGGCTGTGGTGCACCTCCTATCCTAGCTCGGTTTTCCCGGTTTCCGTGCTCCAGAATTCGGTGAAGATGACAAACGAACCGCCCAAGGGCCTGAGGGCCAATATGCATCGCTCCTTTACCTCGGATCCGCTGATGCGGGACAAGTTCTTCACCAATGCCTTCCTCTTTTCGGACAGCGCCAACAAGTGCTGGCTGCGCGGGGTCTTTGCATTGGTTTTCTTCCATGCTGTGGTCCAGGAGCGTCGCGAATTTGGTCCTTTGGGCTGGAACATACCCTACGAGTTTAATGAGTCGGATTTGAAGTGGGTTTTAAATGAGGGATATAATTATTAATATTAACTAATATTATTTCCTTAGAATTTCCCTGTTGCAACTGAAAATGTTTATTAACCAGAGCCAAAGTATACCCTTTCGCGGACATGTCTACCTCACCGGCGAGTGCAACTATGGCGGTCGTGTCACTGACGACAAGGATCGTCGTTTGATATTGTCCTTGCTGAACATGATTTACAATCCCAAGACTATTGAGCAGGATAAGTGCGTGAAAAGGTCTGATCTTTAGACTTGGATTAACTATTTAACCTCCTCAGCTATCCCCTTTCCCAATCTGGCAATTATCTGGTGCCCCTGAGTCCCACGCGCCTCAATTCTATAGAGTATGTGTCCAGTTTCCCGCTGAGTCCCCAGCCCGAGGTCTATGGCTTGCATGAAAATGCAGACATAAACCGGAATGTCAAGGAAACCAATGCGGTGGGTTATCAGCAAATTAAACCAGGTTTACTTTAACCTTTTAATAATTTATATTCCCGCTTATCCCACAGCTCATCAGCGGCGTCTTGCTCACCCAAACCGATCTGATGGCCTCGGTCAAGGCCAGTTCAGTGGGTGGCGTAAAGGAGGATCCAGCCATTGCCATTTGCAAGCAGGTTCTGAGCCAGCTGCCCGAGGAGTTCGATATTGATGAGGTGTCCAAGACATATCCCGTGATCTATACCAATTCCATGAACACGGTGCTGCGACAGGAGCTAATACGCTTCAACCGTTTGCTGTCGTACATACGCAAGAGTCTGGTGAATGTGGGCAAGGCGGTGGTGGGGCAGATAGCTATGATACCCGAGCTGGAGCGAACACATGCATCGATGGTCATTGGCAAGCTGCCGGCGGACTGGCTTAAGAAAAGCTATCCCTCGCTCAAGCCATTGGGCAGCTACGTGAGCGACCTTTTGGCACGGTGAGTTTCTTTGGTGGTGCATTCATGGGGATTACACTGCTAGGAAATATGGGGTTTCCTGTTTCCACTTAAAGTAATTCCTAGAAGTAACATACAACCAGTTTCCCAAGTGCATGTCTCGTATTTCTAGACATTTGGACGGACATCATCAATGGCATTGTATTGAGCAGAAGCTCAAGCCAAAGTTGCCTGTAATGCGCCGCGTGTGCTCCTGCTCCTTGTCCTGCTCCTGCTCCTCCTATGCCTTGGGTCCTTTTCTTTCTTTGCCTCAATTGTGCAAATATAATAAATGTATACGGCACACAAATCCGATGCTCTTCCTCCTGTGGTTGCCACTGCCACTGCCATTCATGGCAAAAATCTTATTTGCTTTTGACATCAAAGGACGATGCTGTTTGTGTGTGCTGCTCCTGCTCCTGCCACATGCTTTGTGTGCTTGTGCCATTTGCCCATTCCCATTGTTGTCGCATGTTTAATATTTATTAATAAATTGAAAAATAAGATAACTCGTTGCCACCCCCCGTTCCCCACCTTGCAGGCTTGCCTTCTTCCAGGAGTGGATAGACAAGGGCGAACCCATGGTTTATTGGATCTCTGGCTTCTATTTCACCCAGTCCTTCATCACGGGCGTCCTCCAGAATTACTCCCGCAAGAATCGCTTCCAAATCGACATGATCTTGATCGAATTTTCGGTTACCAAGTTCGAGACGACAGTTCCTCAGACCCCCGAGGTGGGCGCCTACATCCGGGTGAGTTTATTAGCCAGCTTATTAAGAGCTGGCCACAAAAACACGACCAGAACTTTTGCTAAATGAAAACGAGTTTCTTATTAAAATCATTCCCACACACAAAACACACGCAACAGGAACAAAAAGAGGTCAACGATGAGACCAAGTTTATCGAAGTAAGGCGGTATACTTTATAGCACACATTAATTATTTATTTGTTAATTTTAAAGTTTTTAAAGTCTCATAAATTTATGTGAGAATATTTTTTCCTAGACTACATTTTATTTTATAATTTAAACACTGCCTTTCCTCGCTTAATAATTAATTTCCCATCACCCCCCCGTTGCCAGGGCATCTTCGTTGAGGGTGCCCGCTGGAATCGCAAGGCCAAGGAGTTGGATGAATCCCTCTCAAAGATCCTCTTTGACACCTTGCCCATTATCTATCTGCGTCCCGTGCTCAAGAACCTGGAGGACTTGCCACGCTCGACCGGCGACGCTGAGAAGGAGACCGTCTACGACTGTCCCGTTTACAAGACCAGCGAACGCCGAGGCGTCCTGTCCACCACCGGCCATTCGACCAATTTCGTGATGTATCTGCAGCTGAGGTGCTCCCGGACACCAATGCATTGGATTAACCGGGGCACGGCCTGCCTCTGCCAGCTGGATGACTGAGCTGGGGGGCCACCTCCGGCTGGCATCCGGCTCTGCCGGCCAGGTGGCGGCGATCCTTGGCTCTCTCTGGACTGGTCCTGTGTGTGTTTTTTTGTTTGTGTTGCCGTCACAAAGGAGCACCAGTCGTCGCCCCATCTATATGCAGATGTATTTATTTTGATTTTGTTTCGTTTGATTCGCGGGTCCTCCTCCGCATTCCAGGAAGCCCCAAAAGCGCACTGGACGGGCTCCTGCCTCCTGCCTCCTGTTTTTTTGTTTATTTTGTGTTGGCTCCACACTCACAGGACGGGATCTGGGCCGCGGGCTTCGTGTGGCATGTGCGCAGTGGCATTTTGATGATGATGATGCTGATTGCCAGATATAAATTAAATATGCAGAATACTATACAGCCCGGCCTGGATATACGTATATATTTTTTATGTGCGCCATTTACAAATGAATAAACGAATGAATAAATCCCCCCAGCCTACTGTGTGTGAATATACAATATTTGAAACTGAGCTCGCTTGTTTTTTGCTGACCAGGAAACAAAGTTAATGAAAGAAAGATTTTGGCTGCTCGGTGGGGGGGTTAAAAAGCTGGAATTACACTTACACGGCGTCCAACAGGATGTAAGCCCAGAGTGGCTTGTACTCCAAAGAGCACACATTCCGTTCTATTCTTATAACGAATAACCAATCTCCATATCAAACGCCTTTCGGCCAGAGACAGGCCACTCGACGTTCTTGCCCTTGCCATTGCCATCATCGAGTGGTGCTCCATCATCCATTCTCGATTCCCACTCCGCTGTGAGTGGGAGATTGTTAAAGATTTATGGCTTGTTTGCCGCTCAATTGGAGCAGCCGCAAACGCGATTTAAATTTAAAATTAAATATTGGAAAAAGATGGAAAATTGCTAAGCGATCTCTTAAATCATTTGGCTATTAATAGCCCGCCTAATGGAGCGTGGCGAGCGCTTAGAGAGCCCCAAAATAGCCACACTCGATGGCAGCGACTGGCGTCCATCAAGTGTGGAGTATCAATCGTGATGGATCTTGGCCTTAAGCTCTGCTCGACGATGCTCGAGAGCCTCCAAAAATACACACAGAGCTTGCCGTACGATGACTTCCGCTTGCAATTACCATGGTGGACACAAATGTATCCGATCTATTCAACATAAATCTGGCATAAACTGATGCAAATAATGTAGACAATCGATCCGCGATAGCCATTGTTCCTCACTGCCCACTGGCTCTGATTCCGCCGGCTTTGTTTACTTTCGTTTTGTCTTCTGGCAGATGCTGCTTGCTGGCCGCGCTAATCATTTTTTATGGTCAGCCAACGCCGCAGCCGAGAGTTCAATTGGTGCTTGAGACACTTTTTGACAATAGCAATAGAGCATAGATACAATCCCCGCGCTCGAAGAAGCCACCAATCGATGCGGTAGTCCACCAACCGGTTTCCTCCGCAGCGATCATCATCGTAGCTCATCTCGGCGATCGGCCCAAAGTGAATGGACATCGGCCAGCCGAGAACTTTTCGCGCATTTTCTGTATAAATAGTGTCGTTGGGTCTGGTTTCAAAACAGAATCAACTTTGGATTAATCTAACAGACATCGTCTAGGATCTTCTGGAAAAATGGTTAGTTTAGTTCTCTGCCATCTCCCAGGCATCCTTTTGGACCAGGACTAACCCTTAGAGCCTTCTCTTGCCTTGCAGAAATTCTTCGTCATTGCCTTTGCTGTGATCGCAGCGGCCTCTGCGGCCTCCATTGCCACGGATTACCTGCCGCCGGTGGACAACAACATCGAGGCTGCCTCCGATCTGGTGGAGGTCCCCGCCGACCAGGGTGTTCTTGCTGACGATGGATACCGTTACAAGACCGTCCGCCGTGTGATCCGTCGCCGTCGTGATGTGAACGAGCTCCCTTCTGCTGAGTACCTGCCCCCTGTGGAGGAGGCTTCCGAGGCTGTTGCCGTTGAGACTCCCCTGGCCGAGGATGGTTATCGTTACAAGACCGTCCGCCGTGTGATCCGTCGTCGTCGTGATGTGAACGAGCTCCCTTCTGCTGAGTACCTGCCCCCTGTGGAGGAGGCTTCCGAGGCTGTTGCCGTTGAGACTCCCCTGGCTGATGATGGTTACCGCTACAAGACCGTGCGCCGTGTGATCCGTCGCCGTCGTGATGTCAACGAGCTGTCCGCCGAATACCTGCCCCCAGTTGAGGAGTCCGCCTCCGAGGCTGTTGCTGTTGAGACTCCCCTGGCCGCTGATGGTTACCGTTACAAGACCGTGCGCCGTGTGATCCGTCGCCGTCGTGATGTCTCTGAGCTGCCCTCTGCCGAGTACCTGCCCCCTGTGGAGGAGGCTTCCGAGGCTGTTGCCGTCGAGACTCCCCTGGCTGATGATGGCTACCGTTACAAGACTGTCCGTCGTGTGATCCGTCGCCGTCGTGATGTCAACGAGCTGTCCGCTGAGTACCTGCCCCCAGTTGAGGAGTCCGCCTCCGAGGCTGTTGCCGTCGAAACTCCCCTGGCTGATGATGGCTACCGTTACAAGACCGTCCGCCGTGTGATCCGTCGTCGTCGTGATGTGAACGAGCTCCCCTCTGCCGAGTACCTGCCCCCTGTGGAGGAGGCTTCCGAGGCTGTTGCCGTTGAGACTCCTCTGGCCGCTGATGGTTACCGTTACAAGACCGTCCGCCGTGTGATCCGTCGCCGTCGTGATGTCTCTGAGCTGCCCTCTGCCGAGTACCTGCCCCCTGTGGAGGAGGCCGCCGCCTCTGCCATCATCGATGTGCCCGCCGAGCAGACCGTGCTGGCCGCCGATGGCTACCGCTACAAGACCGTCCGCCGCCTGAAGCTCCGTCGCCACTAAGCCGCCAACTGTGCCACCACCCACCGCAGCATTTGAGATTGTCAAGGATGCTTTTCCAGAAGAAGTCCTGCCTTTGAGAGTCTCACGATGAAACTAACCATAAGTCGAGCGTATTAGTCAATTTGAATCCGTTATGATCAAGCCGAGTACAAAACAACACGAATTAACAATAATAAAAACATTTTTAAACAAAAAGTTGAATAAGGTTTTCATGGGGAAAATAATAAAAAGTAAGCAGAAAGGTTAAAAAACACGGGAAATTTATCTTGAGTATAACTTGCTGTCCTATCTCAACAGTTCTTGGTCCCAGGATATTCTAGGATAAATTTATTATGAGATTCCCATTGCTTCAAAGTTTTTGTTTAAAAATTATTTTGCTTTTATTTATTATATTTTTATTTATAATATTTAATGGCCTTTTCCTATTAATTCTTTTCCCCAGTGTCTCTGACCTCAGCAAATATGGAAGACCCTCAGCAGAGAGAGCCCTATCTTATCTTTTTCCCCAGATAAGACTCTGCGCGATAAGATACGAGCACTTGCCGCCGCCTGCAAACACGCACAGGTTTTTAGTTCCACTTTGGAGTCGACGACGTGCGCGCTACAAACTTGGCCAACAGCTGAAAGCGAGCAGAAGTTTTTGGAGCGAACGAGAACGAGAACGAGCGAAAACGACGGAAATGAAGTTGGCTAAGAAGTGCTCCACCTACTTGGTGATATGCCTGGGTAAAGTTCTGCATACGAGTGCTCCGTTTTGAGTATCTGCCAGATACATTCTCCGCGTGTGTGTTAGTGTGTTACCTGAAATGGCCATCAAAAGGCATAACTGCAGCATCATAATAGGAGTAGAGACACGCCCAGCGTAACCGTGGAGGGGCCTTAATGGCGCAACTTCCAGCAATTGGAGACTTTAACGATGAGTAACTGGGCCAAGTGTGTGTGTGTGTTGTGTGTCACACTCTCCAAATATGTAGACGCTTATCAGTGCGATTCAGATAAGCTCAGTGTTTACTCACGGTTGCCCCATCACTGTTTCAGGTGTAAAATAGCAGGGCGTGGTGAATCAGGCAGAGGAAAAGACTTCCTCAAAGGAATTCCAGCAACATACCTGCAATTAAATCGCTGACTCATGGGGCAGTTAATAAATTTGAAAAAGGTTTTCATTGGATTCATTAAAATTTGATTAGGCCGAAAAGTACAATGCACTAAAACCGGAAGTGGCATAAGCTCGGTAATTATTTCGCATATAAATTATGAAATATGTTCGACACAAACACAACAACAACAACAAAAAAATGATGGGAAACAATTAATTTCGGTTAGCGGCTGGCCGACGAAACTCGGTCGCTCACTTAGCCACATCCATTTGGCCGATGGTTTTTGTCAAAGCCCAATGAATCAGCCGAATGAATGTTGAATCGAATCTGGCTGCAAATCAATACATTTTCCACACACACACTAAATCCAAATCCGCTGAATATTTCATGCGCAAAATATGCTGAACCAAAACAAACACCAAACTAAAGCTAAAGCAACACGAAAAAAATATTAATTAAAAATACATTTTGATAATTTTACGTGAAATCGAGTCTGACATCCGCAATGGAACGAACAAAAGGGAAAGAATTTGGGGGAATATCATAAATTTATCATCGAACTTGGCGCGCGCGCGCGCGCGTTCTGTTGTTAAACATTTTCTCAATAATTAATTGTTAATATATCTTAACAAGTCTTCGTCTCAGTCTTTGGCTGCGTAGATCCAAGATACGCTGAAGCTCTATATGATGAATGGTTGAAATGAGTTCCGTTTTGGCTCGCTTTATGGCTCCGGTTTGATGGATGCCTCAAAGCCATAAAGCCACCTTCGAAGGTGGTCTTCGGACAAATCACAGCTAACTCGAGTGCTCGAGTGCCTCTCGTTTTACTCTGTAATTATTATATGTTTTATTTAATTAATTTTATCTTCTTTTTTTTCTGGTTTTTAGTTTTGCTGGCCTGCGTTTTGCAGGAAACGGAGGCCACGCGACGCGTGAACCGCGGTCGTCGCACCCTCACCCGTCGTTACTTCAGTAAGTGGTGGCGTATACTTAATTTAGTTGGTTAGATTACTCATCTTTCTTTTATTTTGTATTTTCACAGGCGGCCTTGCCATACCCGGCTGGGCCATGATCGTCTGCATAGCCCTGGCTGAGCTCTTGATTGGCGGTGCTTTGTATTTCATACTGAAGAAGGTGATCCTGGATAAGGAGCCCGACCAGGGTACCACCTCTTACACGCCCGCCCCAGCGGCTCCTAGTACCTACACCCCAGCCCCGGCTCATGAGACGGCCACAACGGTGACGCCTACGCCCACGCATGCCACGGCCATTGCTTAAACGGGATAAGGATAAGGAGGAGCAGGATCCTAGCCATAGTTCATAATTTAAACCTTTTAAAATCTGTTTAAATAATACCCAAAACCTAGCACTATATTTCAGAGCTTGTAAGTTCTGTGCCCTTTTTTGTTTGCCTTCAATTTCGAATAAAAAAACCTTTGTTACCCATCCGGCGCCACTTTAAAGTGGCTATAATCAAACTAGTTCACATTCACATGGCTAAATGATCGATCCGATGGGTCTTAGCATTTTATTGCACCGGCTATAACCGCCCCTCTGCGAGCCAGTTTGTCTGCACGCAACTTCCATTTAATTCTAATTAATTTAAACTGGTTTTTCTCGAGTGAGCCAAGTGGAGTCTATTATCAGGGTGAAGATTAAAGATACCTTTTTAAAGTGACTCAGCTTGTGGCATAGTTTTGGGCAGGGAAAAAATATATATACAAGCTAGATTTAGCTTAAGATTTTGGTTTTTTTTTTTTTTTGGTTGTTAAATAAATAAACAAAGAGAATTGTAGGAAAATGTTTATTTAAGCCAAAGAGTAATTACGCTCCTCTTTTTTTTATTAAATTTCTACATTTTTCTAAATCCTTTAAATGCCTTTGATTATCTCCTAGATACGTCTGTATCTGTATCTGTATCTGTATCTGTATCTGTATCTGTATCGCTCTGACTGATACCCACTCGGGATGCAGCGGCCACTTGACGCCGCTCTCTCGCTTTGCCGCTGACAAATCGAAATTTATTATAAACGCAATTGAAAAATCCCCAATGCGCCACTTGAGCCGGATCTCTAAGCCGCCGCTGCTGCTGCTGCTGCAAGAGGAGGATGAGCAGCCTCCAGTTGGTACAAGAGTTGAAGTGGTGAGCGGGAGCCCCAGAGCCGATGGAATCCCGGCCAAGTCAAGGGGCCCGGCAGCCAAGTAGCTGTAAATGCCAACAATTGGCGCAACCAAAAGCTGTTCCATAGCATCACGTAGGCAGAGGAGGCAGAAGAGCAGCGGGAGCAGGGTTGGCGAAACCAAAGCGGATTCCAAAATTGACACAAAACAGACAAAAAGCGAATCGCTTAGGCGCATCCACCCGCAACCGAGGAGGATGGCAGGCACTCCCCGAACACAGACACGGAACCGAATGCAGCGGCAGCCAAAAATCCAGCAAACGAGAGTGCAGCAGGAATGCGGCACGGCAAGAAAAAAGAGGTAACTAGAAGGGTAAATTTATAAAATATAAATTTAATTCATAGAAAAATTAATAAATAATTTTTAAAAATGAAATTTCTTTCAAAAAAAGAAATATTACAATTTCTAAAATAAAATTTCCCTAAGAAATACATTTTTCTCTCAGTTCTGAAACGCTAGCGAACAAGGATACCCCGCTAGATACTTGGGCTGGCGTAGCAAAGCCACACAAAAGCGTCCTGCATGCTGGCTCTGTGTGTGTGTGTGTGTGTGTGTTCCCGAAAGGACTTTCGCCCCGAATGGGAATGCAAACACTTTGCATATGCTCGGAGAGCCGCACTCCAGCAATTGTTATGGGTCAGCCGGACCAGGACCAGGACCAGCAGTAGAAGCACCATCTAGAACCGAGTAGGAATCCCGGCGATTGCTCTACTCAGGACACTTGGCCGGCTTTATGCAAGTGTTTGTGGGGTGTTAAAGTTTATCAACATATCGTCAACGTTGTTGTGCCGTTGTCTGACAACAGTGGCTCATATTTATTTATGGCTCAGCCTCCACTCCGGGGCCATATACATATTTCCGCATGACCCAGACTGGCCACAGGATCGGGGCATCCTGCATCCGGGTCGAGAGCTAGCACTTGTGGCCAGCGTTTAGGATGGCACAAGTCTGACAGTTTGGCAGACGCTTCACAGTGTTATCAAAAGTTTCATGTTTGGTGCTCAGGGGAAGCTAAGAAAAGAAAAGGGTATATAGGGTTCGATTTATTTTAAAGATATATAACAAATTTATATAATAATAGGAAATATTTATAGAATTTATAGAATTTTAAAGATAAATTTTACCTTTGAATTTTCTTTAATATTTTTTTTCCCTGGAAGCTAAAAGTAGAATTGAGAGAGATCTAAATTTTTTTTATATATGAAACTGAATTACTGGATATCAAATATTCGTTACCCTCAATTTCCAAATTCTTTCCTGTATATTCTTTTCTTTTTTTCCTTCTGCTATTCCCTGTGTATCTTCGCTTTTCTGGGATTTAGACATGTACACTTGTTGTAAACAACAACATTAACAAGGGTTTTGCAGGACGACAGCGGAAGGACGAAGGGTAAGGGGACACTCATAAGCATTCATTGGAAATCCTTTTCGATTTATTTGCGTATTCAAACGGAAACATTTAAAGTGATTGCGGATGCAAATTTCCCTCCCAAGTAGGCAGCACGAAATTGCTCTGATGTACCGGGATGCTTTGCCTTTCTTTCCTTTCACCGCTTTCACCCGGTTTTTTCCCATCAGCTTTCTTTATTTTCACAGGCTCTCTGTGTGTGTGTGTCCGTGTGTGTGTGGATTTTCAAGATCCAAACGCGTGCCTGGCAACATTTGCGGTTTTTGCGCAAACTTCACACATTTTCTTATGTGGGGCTTGTGCCTTGCTTTGGCCTTACCTTTTTATTGTTGCCAGCGCCATGAGAATTTCAATTTTCACACAGGTGCGCTTGTGTTTGTTGAAAAAATAAATATCAATCATACGCCCCAGTGGCCTGTGTAGGTTCTCGACTCTCAGTTCACCCCGCTCCCTCCCCTCTCACTAACCACTTTTATGAGTTCTGTTTAATTTTATATGGATATTTGCTTTAACAATTAGCCAAATGCTCTCCAACTTTTCAACTTCAACTTCAACTTGGGCAATATGCCCGTCTGGGCCTGATATATAGCTCTTAATTCAGCTCGATTATCTGCTGCAATCGAATGTGTTTGAGTTCAAATTCAAGTATGAAGGTACGACACTGGCTGTTGGTGGAGTAAAATCAAATAAAAATACACTTTGAGTGATATTTACACCAAGTAAGAACAAGGAAGGAAGTTAGGTTTGGGAAGTCGAAGGTTGTATACCCTTGCAGTTCATAATTTTATCATAGATCAAGTGGGAAATTGATCATAACTAGGGCAAAAATGACTTAATTTTAATTCGGAAAGCTTTTTTATGCTACTTTTTTCTAGGGTAACAAATCTGCTTACTAAATTGTAAATTTAAAAAAAATTCGAATTTCGATCGATTTTTGAGAATTTTGATGATGTAACCCCTTATCATTTTTTGAAAAAATCGATGAAAATTTTTTTCTTCAGAAAATGGCTAGAAAGACTCTTCTGCTAATGCTGATCAAGAATATATATGATTTATAGGGTCGGAAATGACTTCTTTACTTTGTTTTAAGCTTTTGACTAAATAATACCCTGCAAAAGGTATCAAAAGATACTTTCAGTGATGTTTACACTAAGTAAAAATAAAGTCTGGTTGGCATTAAATATATTTTTAGAGTTTAAAGTAAAAATAGTGACCGATTGACATTTAAAAATATATTTAAAATTACCTATAAGTGTCTTTGAATTAAATTAATTTTTTGTTTATATAATAAAATGAATATAAATAAACCAAAAGTTATTTATGTTGTGGTTTTAAAAAGATTTTAATATTTGATAATGTTTATCTATTTTTATAAATATTTAAAAATGTTTTAAGGGGTTTATTGGTACTTTCAATTATATGTTTAAAAACATTAAAAAGACTTAACAAGTTTTTAGGTCATTTAAAAAATATTATACTGACGGTAAACAATTAAAAAACAAGTTAAAAAGTATGATCTTTTTTTTTTACCAAGATTATATTATTTTTTAGAACTTACAAATTAAAAATTATATATAGTTGAATTCGCTTTAGTGATATTATTTTCCTGCTGCTACTTCAAACATTCAAAGCTGGAAGCTTTTGGCACTTGCGTGCGACTCGCCGCGCTTTTATGTATGCCCATTAAGTTCGCACTAAACCACTAAAAAAGGCTGTTAATAAGCTGAAATTGCTGGCAAGAAACCGCTGGCTCATCAATGAGCGATCTGCGATCCGCGATCCATGATCAGCGATCGAGTCAGCTGCTCCACTTCAGCCGCAGTTTATTTTACGAGCATTCATTTCGGCTGACAGCTTGTTAATTATTTCGAGACACTGCCCGGTGCGTGAGTGTTTGTGTGTTTAATTGGTACATAAGCGATTCCTATTCCAAATAGCCTCTGTTTGTCCGATCAGTGTATATGTATACTACTACAAGAGCCACTTGACCAGAACTGAGATTGCGGCTTATCAGTCAACAAGGAGAAGGAGACCCCCTCCTGCTCAAGGGGTTTAACCGATTGGCCCAGAGTCAATAACAACACCCTGAATGCGAATTCGAATTCATTAAAGTTGCAGCCACTTTCACCTTTCAAGTTAGAGTGCAGTTAGAAAAATTTATTGGGAAATTATTTATTACAAAAATATATTATTTATTGAAGCCAGAAAAGGTTCATATTAGATACATGACCTTTTTTATTTTATATAAAATAAATTTCTTCGAATTTCCTCTTCCATTTGAAACCCATTTTTCCTCTTAGTGTTTATGGTCGTTTATCCAACGTTTATGCAAATTGTCCGGCTGCAACTCTAAAATGCAGTCTGAGGATAAATTCGTAACGAATTACCAATCAATTGACCAGCGAAACAAACAGACCCAGGCCGAAGCCAGACTGAGGTCGAGGCGGCTGGCTCTGGCTTGTAAAACGATTTGGATACGAAATTGAAATTGCAAGGAAACTAAAACTAAAACAAAAACAATTTAAATATAATGGAACCACAACGACTCGGTCTCGTGGGGTGCCGCTTCTGTTCTGAATAATTCAGCCAAAGAGCTGGAGAGCTGGAGAGCTAAAGAGCAGCAGTGGCAGTGTCGGCAAATTAAATCAAATAGTTATATCATGCGAGTAAATCGCTGTGGATATCGCACATACGCCCCGTTGACCGCAGACTCGAGCAGCGGCCGAAGCTACTTACACGCCACGCTCATCGCTCCGGGCATCAGTGCGCGCCCAGTGCTCAGCCGCAGCAGATCGTGGATAGTGGATATACATATAGAGAGTGGATGCAACACAGATACTGGTGGCAAATATTTGCTTATCGACTTCGACTTCCTGTCTGCCAA